TATGTAAGTGCAGTAGCAATGGTATGGAGGGACAGGAGTTCCAGACTACGCGGTGTCTGTACACTGTATGTATTTCTTTACAAGAAAACTGTATCTCTGGTATTTGCAAAGAAAGCTGTCCCACTGCTCTGTCCCATTTGTATCCCTCTGGATAGGAGGCCTTCTAGAGATTAGGGAAACTTTATGAAGACCTTCAGCTAAACCGTGTTCTGCAAGGAGCAATACTCCAGAGAGGACCCACCCCACTTTACTGCCCTGCAGAACAAACACAGGAAGGAACAAATACACCACCCCCAATAAACCAAAACAAAAACCACAGACAGTTCAGCAAAGACTAATTACTTTGCACAGCTTATTAGCACTCCAGCTCCAACCTAGAATGTGTAAGTATATACCTGCAGCAGCATGCTGCTCTTCTGAAAATAAAGTTAGTTTTCACCGTACAACGGGCTCACATGGGACTGCCTGCCAGGCATGTTGGCCTGTCCTTGTACAGGAATGGTTTGCAGGCACACCAGATGGTATCCTTAGATGCCATATGATTGAATAAATTCTACTTCAGCGAAAAACTTGAAAAGAAACCTTTTACTTATGGCAGATATGCAGAAAGTACAATAATTCTAGAGGAAATCAAAAGCATTGCTTTCCACAGTGTGTGTTATGTCCCATTCCAACAGCTATTGGTCATAGTAGGATGCGTGACTTGAGACAGCATTTACAGTAAAAGTACGCTCATGAAGCACTCGATCAGTTTTATATGTGTCTAAGGCTACCAGCAGGAGGTGAAAGCATCTGTACTCCTCACAAGGGGAATTGCTTCAATTTGTATTGCAAGAGCCATCAGTTTTTCAGTCAAACTTGTTAGTGCTGTTGCATTGAGCCTGTTTTTATAGAATAGTTGGCCTGGATAGTTATCCTCCTGAGACTTCTGCAGCCTTCGAGCTGCCTCTCATCATCAGTGATCTTAGTCCTAATTCTGTTCAATGGGGCAGAATTCCTCTAACTTCAGCCTATAGAATTATATTTTATGTACCATGATTAAATATGTTACCCTAGGCTAGCGGGTTTTCTACCTTTAAATTGGAAAGTAGAGGTCTTACCTAGGATGGGGAAGGTCTTACCTAGGATGGGGAAAGGAACCAGCTTGCCTTTCTCTTAGCCTGAAGTGCAATATTACAATAAACCACTTTGCTGAGTAAGTGTTAAACATTACTGTCAGAGTTTTATACAAGTTTAACTAAATGATTATTAAAAAAAATAATTAACTAAGAAGACACCTTTGTCTGCATTTGGCTTCAGGGTTCCAAATGGTGATGATGACGACAGACTGTAGTATTCCTGAGCGGTTTCTCTGATTTGGAGTCCAAGCCAGTCAGAGTAGCAAAATGCAGCATTAGCTTTCAGTGCGCCAGCCCTGCTTGCAGGCTTCTTCCAGGGGAGTTAATCAGCAGCTCGCTAGCTCAGGCCTTGCCATCACCCCGGAGACAGCAGACCAGTACCGCTGTTGTAGGCTTGCATTAGGCATACGAAGGGGAAAATAATGAACAATGAAGTAGGCTGATTTTAAAGCAGCACTATAGAAACCCTTCTCCCATACTTCAGAGCAATTCTTTCATTCACATGCTTACTGAAAGGAACCAAAGTGTGCAGATGCATCCTCGCTGAGGGATTAGGCCATGGTTCTGTACCGACCTCGCATCTTAGGAGCTGAGTTGTTCTGTTTCTAACAGGACCTGAGCCTCTACATTTCTCTTTTGTGGGGAAAAAAAAAATGATCCTGCTAAAAGCATCCCTGCTCTCTACAACACTCAATCCACACACATTAGCCGCTGCTTAACTTTGGTGTCTCTTTCATGTTCCACACAGCAGCTCCAATGTACTCAGCTGGGCTGTTTGCAGTAGCCACTGCCGAGTGCTTTGCGGCACATCAAAAAGAGCTTCCTCGGCTTTTTGTCTCCAGCGTCATTTGTTTCTGTTAAACAGAAGCCGGATTTCATATGAGGGCACATCAGGAAAAAAAGAAGGAACGGGGGAGTGAGGTTTTTGTGTGGCTTTCTGGTTGTTCACTTTTTTTGTTTTGCTTTAGGAGTGGTTTACTCTTTATGTAGCTGCCTGTATTAAAGTATTTTGCATGAATGCATTTAGTGTAACACCTATGTGTGCTCTGCGTGATTTAGAACGGAGGAAAAATATTGTCTCCGCTGTGGACATTCTCCGTGCTCTAACCCAAAGTCCTCAGTGGGGACAGAAGGCATTTGGGCCCATTCAAGGGAAAGAAACCCCTGACCACTGAAACAAATGGAGTTAGGCAGAAAGAAATTCCAGCTCAGCGTGGCAGTATTTAAGCCGTAGTGCTGTAGCTTCCTCTACCTAACAGAGCTCTAAGTTGGGTGACTGGGCCCCATACACAGTCCCTGGGGAGAAAAAAATAGGCACCAAAGAATGGGATTCACAACATGCAGCCAGCAAACTCGGTGGTTGCCCCAGAACAGCTGCTGCAGCCCGCTAGACCCGAGCATCCTCGCTCCTTCCTCTTCATAAGCATAGAAGCTGCTCTCAAGATGGACACCACAGTTTGTTTCACAGAGTTTGGGTGAGAAGAGTTGTACCAGGGAAACGCTTATGGTTTAGCTGTGATGCTTTACATAAAATAGAGAGAATTAATTCTGTTCCTTCACTTATACAAATAAGTTAGAAATGACAGGAGAGATCTAAAGGTACCGTGCCCAGATTCATATGTCAGGTCCGAAAATCAGGCAAGTAATGGAGCTGAGCTAGTCTCCCAGAACTGGTCAGTTTCCTGACAAGACAAAGTAGGACAGCTTCTTTCTCCCACTTCCTTAGGGCAAGATCTGAGCTGAGGATGCCATAGACACCAAAACTGAGACACAGACTAACTGATGAATGAAAAATACAGAACTAGTTAACTTAAATAACAGCAACACAAGCACTTCAGCATCAGTTGGCAGCACAAGGAAGCTGATCTCAATTTCGGGTTTAGGCAGAAACACTTGGGATAAACTGTAATTCCCAATTTAAACCCAGGGAGCTGATCCTGGGCCCCATGCAGCACTGCTTCTATGCAAAGAAAAAAACATAACCAACAGTTTTCATTAAGAATAGAAACCGTATGTTTTGCTAGAAGAAGAAAACAGAACAAAACAACATCACTGTTTCTTTTGATAATGAGAAAATATCCATGACCTTAGAGTTTTATATCTCAAGGACCTAATTCAAAGCTCATTGAATTCACTTGGATATAAAACAAAATCTCACCAGAGTGAGCTGTAGAAGGCCAAAGTAACTTGAGAGGGTAGGGTGTACATTTAAGATAAGGGAAGAAATAGTATATAATAAAGCTTTGACTAATTTCCCATCCTAATTTCTTCAAATATTTTGTATGTCAAGTAGTTTTATTGCTTATAGATAGCTTAGAGTTTATGCTCCCACCAGACACCCAAATTTAACTCCTGTTCTTAATATGAATTTCAAAAGTAGTTATACAGCAGTGGGAAAATACAGTTCACTCCGCATTTCGGAATGAGGCATATTAAAAGGCCTACATACGCCTGTCTGTCCAGTAAAGTAATCGGTGAAAACAGTATCTAGACTGCACATAGGTCTCCCAAGGAGGATTTATGGGAGCCTCATGTTTTGAATTTTGTGGATTATTCTAGAAATAGTCTCTCTTACCCAAAGCCATATTTAAAACTTAGAGCTTTCAAACCTAATTCTGTATTTCATTAATCCAGGTCCCAAAAATGTTTTTAGAAGTCACTTCTCAGAGAAAGTATTCCTGGTAGGACAGTAGGAGAGGAGCCCCCCAGTCACCTGTCTGAACAAAGCAGAAGCTGTACTGAATGGCACGAGCTGCCCTTGTCTGAGGAACAGCCTTCTCTGAAAAAGCAAACGCAGCACTTCTGTGGGATTTATGCCAATATCCTTGTCATTATAATAGAAATCTATCACAGTTATGACTTTCTGATGCAAGGTATAACACAGACTTGAACAAAACTGATGGGGTGGGATAGTTGTGGGTTTTTCTTATTTTTTCCCCATTGTACAAATAAGTAATTTAGATGTGGCTGCTCTTTCCTTACTTCAGCTGTACTAATCTGTACTGATTTACACCCCGTGCTTTGATTTGCAGATTAAGCCAGTAATTCTCTATTGCACAAGTCCAAGGTACTTTAGAGAAAGTCAGACTTTGAGACTTCTGTCCGAATTCCTCTACTCTCTTTATCTTGAAAGAAACTTCACAGACACTAATGTGCACAAGTAATCTGTTTTCTGTATTAGACAGGAGAGAGGCTGAAAGAACCAACTGAAACCAGAATTAAAGGGGAAAAAAATGTAATTAATGTCACCAACATGATGATTTAATTGTAATTTAGGTCTACAGTTAACTGTGTGATAGCCCCAGTGATTTAAGATTTGCTGCAACTCAGCAGTGAAGGCAGGGCTCTACCATGGCCCTATTAAGATAAGAATTCAATAGTCAATACTGAGGATTAGCAATGTAAGATTATAAAAGTTCATTTTAGAATTCAAAGAATAAACAATTTATTCTATTTTTATCCTACGTAAAGGATACCCCTGGCCAAGGCACTGATCCACTTTTGCCTTTTTTTTTTTTTTTTTTGATGTTTCAGAAGTGCAGTAGAGCTACTAAGCTAGGTAACTGAATCAAAGAGGAAAGCTTTGGACTCATGGTTAAAAAGCATGTCTAGAAACAGAGCTCGGTGACTGAAACAGTAACCAGGCTATTGAGGCTACTCTAAACTGCATCAGAGATTAAACCAGCCTGTGACAAAGGGAATCTTCATTCCAAATCCTGCCTAGCGCTGATCTTGTCTCTAACTGAAAGATTTTTCACGGTCTCAGTGGACTTTAGTAGATGGACATCGGAATGTTCTCTAATCTATATTATAACACAGTAGCAGTGCAACACGTTCACAATGTTTAATCCAAACACTTCTTTTTCTTCCCCATCTTTAAAGGGAGGTCCAATCCAGAACCGAAAATCCAAGCGTTGCCTGGAATTGCAGGAAAACAATGAAAATGAATTTGGATTTCAACTCGTCCTTCAGAAATGCACTGGACAACGCTGGTCTATAACAAATGTCCTGAAAAGCTTGTCATCGTAGCAGACTAAATTTTTTATGCATTTCTTTTGCTACTGTGTAGCAAATACTGCATTGTTGCCTGCTGTACTGTATTCCTGTCACCCCCTACCTCCCCTGCTTCCTTCTCTCCTCTTTTTTTTGTCCCTTTGATTTTATTTTGTGAGTGTGTGGAAATTGGGTTTGTGGGCTGAAAATAAGACGTTTTTATTTCACAATGATGTTTTCATGGCATTTATAGAGAGATTGAATGACAGGTGGTGGGTAGGCTATCCTAAAATATTTTACAATTGTAAATAGGAAACAAATGGAGAATATTTATAACTCAAACTTTTATTGAATAAAAAAGTCCAAATACTATTACTGTCTAGCTGTCTCCTTGGAAATCCATTTGAAAGTTAAGTGGTGGTTTCATTGCTTTCATTAACCCAAGCCTGATCTCGGCAAGTTGTTGCTGAGTATCAGTATTCTCCAGACTCGTGGTAAGAAGTCCTGCCTGCACATCAGTCGCTGCAGGGAAGGAGAATCTGCTTCCTCTCCCTCTTGGCAGACCTGGCCATGTCACTGTAGCCACCAGTGTGCAAACACGGGGGGAAGCGTGGTGTGGGGTGTGTGGAGGGGTACAGGTGTATAATATGCACCCACGTACCTTTCCTCACCAGTACTACTAAATAAAAGCACAGAGAGAACCCCCAGGGATCAAGTGAGGCAGGGAAGAGAATTAATTAAAAGAAGGAAAAAAAAAAAAGAAACCAAACCAAAAACCTGTGAGAGTGAAGCAGCAGCTACTGGAAAAAAAAAAAAAAAAAAAAAAAAACACACAACACACCACACCAACCCACACACAAACCACCAAACCAAAACCCTGACATTTCTCAATGGGTTGGGCTCTGTTCCAAAGACTGCACTTCCCTTCCAATTGTCTGTAGTTCATACCACTTCTTTTTCCTTTTTTTTTTTTTTCTTTTTTGCACTGTCCCCTGGCTACCACAGACTTGGATAAAAATGGCTCCTTCCCAAAGCAGCAGCAAAAAGTAAGAATTCACTCTGCCTTTCTGCCAGCCTTTAAGGAGGTGTGACTGCAATGTCATATCACTTCATCCTAGCTAAGACTGGGATGAGGAGAGGAAGAAACAGTCTGATGAGATAAACCAGAACACTAGGATTATTGGCCTCTTTATTTCCAGCTGCTTTTATTTGTATGTAAATTCTCTTTTATTACACTATTTGTTCTTTTTATTCTGTTGTTTGTTACATTAAGTAACATTCATAAGCTCTTTTGGCGCTGGTTATGTGCCAAACTGTCTTTTACAGACTGGCTTTGCATTCAGGACCAGCTAGTAGTATTGTTCCTCGTGACTGTTTAATAAATCATGTGGCGCATTAATTGTATGTGTTTAACCTTCTGCTATATATAGTTACCATAGATCTGCTTCTTAGAGAAGAAAATGCTTGAGCCAGCAACAGAACAGTAATGGCCAATAAAGACAGGCTCAACACCTGCACTTCTACCAACTTCAGACACCCCTCAGGCCTGTTTGAGGGAAAACTCCCACTAAAATCAGAACCCTCAAAGAACATCAATAACCTGAGTGTCAGGGTACCACAGCTGGCCAAGATAGAGCAACTTGAATTTCACCCTGTAGAGAAAACAGGCGGTTGCTACACAAGCAAACCCATCCTCCTGCACACTGGAGCACCTGCAGCGTCCCGACGGGAGAGGGCTCCGTACGTGGCACGCAGACGCGTTCTGAGCATTCCCAAGTTCCGACACTAACCAACTGGACTTATTTTTCACAGGCATTGCAAATAAATGAGGAGGAAATTGCATGTTCACACAGAAAAAGCACAGAAATCACAAAGAGTAGTACAAGATAAACTAAAAAAAAAAAAAAAAAAAAAAAGGAAAATAACCCAAAACTTTGAAGTGAGCCCTGTAGTCTCACCAGCCCTGTTTGGTGCTATCCAGCCATCCCTCCCCACCACACACACCAGTTCTAAGGCTGCTGCTACTGCTGCTCCCCTCGATTCCCATGGGGCCTGCACTGAGGAACTGTTTTCTTCAGCTTCTCTAAAACAGGACATTACCAGGTAAGTGTGGGTTTAAATTTGATCCCAGTGCAATTCTATGAACTACAGTGGAATTACCAAAATAAACACTGGGGAGAAAAAACAAACCCAAAAACATAAATCCAGACTTGAAACATTATAGTACAGCAATTCAGCTATAGGTAAAATATGTGCATTACAAAAGTCTTTTACCTTTGTTTTGCATCATGGAGTAAACATTTTTATGTGATAACATTGAAAAAGGGAAATGGGTTTAAATCTGTGGCTAAGCCTACTAAAATGGTATAGTAGAAATTATCAATGTCCATAAGCAGCACCATTATTGTGCACTTTCTGGGACCCGAAGATCTCAGAACAGATTTTGTTTTACATGCCCCTTCTCTTGGAAGAGAGAGGAAAACAGAGCAAAACAAGCCATAGCCTTTTTTTTGTAGACATGTGCTCACTTTTAGTTGTGAGCTGCCTCATTGCTACTTTCCTTTTAAGATACACAAGAATTTCATAGATAAAGCCGCAGTGCCTCACACCGTAAAAGATAAATAATCACCATACTAAGTGAAAAAAAAAAAACTCATCTTCACTTTCTGGAACATTATAGAACATTATTCAATCATCAGCTGCCTCAAAAACATTCCCAAATCTGCCTTTGCAATAGTTGGTTTTGGTTGGTTGGTTTTTAAAAATTGTTTTAAAGAGGGAAAGCTAGCACTTAAGGGCAAAAAGGAACACTGTTCTGGAAGCGATATAGCTGCTCACCTGCATATGGTCAGAGATTGAAACAACCAGAAAGATCCAGTCAGCTCCCTCTTCCTTCTGCAGCTACAGAACTGCTCCAAAATTTTAATTCAGCTTTTAAAAGGAAGAATGATTCTATGAAACTGAACCGCAGTTTAGAAAGTGATGACTGCTCAGATCTAAAAGAAGGTATCTCACTGTCTCGTTCCCCCATCTTTGCTTGCTCTAGAACTGGTGCACTGTTAACCTCAGGAAGACCCGTTCATTTTCTGAAAAACCACATAGCTAATGAAGTACCTGTATTTGAAGTGCCCATATGTGACAGTGATTCTCATACCAGTTGTGAATGTTTTGCTGCAGACACTTCAACGCAAAGCAACCCACCAAAGGCTACATTTTTATCTTAGCATCCATTAATAAGGGGTTTCTGTGTATAATTTTATTTGTTATTTACTGTTATTTTATAATTCTCTGTATTCTCCTAGACGTTATGCAGCTACATAGTAAAGAGTAAGTCTTTTACCACTTGAGTTCCAGATGCTCTGGAAATGCTCACAATTAAAGAGGAAATACAAAACATATGTCCCAAACTTCTGTCCCAAATATGTCTACAGATCATCTTGAAAAAACAATGACAAATCACAAACTGAAACCTCTTGCCTCTTCCCACAGTCTGAAGATCACTGAGCAGTTCTTACTCCAATCCAGAGCCAACCATTAGCATGAGAATGCTGAAATGCTGTGCAGCCTGCTCTGCCCATACCTGCTAGGAACAGGCACGACTCCTCACCTACTGTAAGTTAGCACACGTACACCGACTTTGAGGAACACCATCAGTTCCACAGTATGAAGTCTGGCTCCCCAAAGTACACCTCAAGCAAGACTCATACTGAACTCCACACATAACCCCTGTTCATACATATGTGTGAGTAGTTCAGGACTCACGTGCACTGTACACCAATACAAAGATGATCCTGCCAGACAAATTGCCTGCTGACAATACTCTTCTAACAGCTGAAAAAGTACAACACAAGCACTGCAAAGACAGGAATTAAAAGTTATCCTGTGCACGGCAACTTTCCAAAACAGATCTTGTGCTCTAAGTATTTATGCTGAGCATACCTAGTCAGATCTGGCAGCCATTTGGAGAAAGCTTGCTTTATTCAGAGATGAAGAGAGACCATCATCATCTTGCTAGGGAAGGGAATCACCTGGGTTTTTACTGTTCCTCACAAGCTTTGCTATTTAGCACAGTTTACCTGGGTACACATCACACAAGAAAAAAAAACCCAAACCACAAACCCAGTATCAGAGTATGAGTATACTCTTATTATACTTATATTATATACTTATATATTAGATACTCTTATTATATATATTCACATAGCTATTCATATAGCTGTTGAACCTCTGCACCTTACGCATTTTCTGTCCTACAGCCAGTCATCAAGCGCTGAACTTCTGACACTAAAGCTAGAAACCCATCACCATGCCGATGCTGACCCTAGCTGTTTTCCCACATTGCACCTTACAGGTGTCCAGGGTTTGACTCTGAAATAGCACCTCTGTTACCCTTGCTTTTAAAAACTGAGCAGAAGTCCCTCTGGCATGATGTGTCAATAATTTTCTGCGAAACAACAATGGTTTATACAACACTTTTCTGACCTCTCCAGGTGCTCTACTGTTACAGTGATAACCACTACAAAAATAGTGTAAAACAACCTTGAAAACTATAAAAGGAAACCACTTGAAAGAAAAAATTGAGGGAAAAAAAGTTAGTCCAAGTCCAACCTTGAGGCCAAACAAGCACACAAACGTCCAATATCAAACCTCGTTTCACAACTGGAAGGTAGCACACTTGAGGGACTATCCACAGAAGTAATACAAACATTGCTGCAGAGTATTCTTGAATTACTCATTAAGCCCACAAGCAACAGTTTCTGTCTGACTCTTCCCAGATATTTGGACAGGACCTCTGGACAGTAAAGGACTCACATCCCAGTTCCCTGGGAGCAGCACACTGAGATTTGGCTGCCAAGGCTGACACGTGAACCCGTCTGGCTGTACTCTCAGCCAGGCCTCCTGGGTACCGAGAGATTTGGAAGTGGTGTTCTGATCCCATGTGTATCGGTGTGCAATCTGTCTGCGTGCATGGGCAGCCACTGCTTCCCTGTCCCCGAGGGAGGGGGCAGGTTAATTTAAAACACATTACCAGAATCCTCTTCTTGACTACTTGGCACCGGGGAGCATCTCGGTCTCCTATTCTATTCTATTCCCATGCAGCTGAAAAAAAGAAATTTTTGCCTCTCCCAAACAGTACAGTAGAAATACCGATAAAGACACTGCAATAGTTGCCATAACAACTGCTTTTAACTACAGTTGTAGTAAGGAATACAGTTTCCTTTTTGTCCACAGACTAACAATATCTTCATTATTGCTAAGTAGACCTTTGTAAAGAGCTGAATTCTTTTAAAGCTGTTACTTTTGAGCATATATTTTAGATCTGCAAGAGTAAAAGGCGGGTGGCCTTTTGCTGTTCAGAAGAATAACAACTC